GTGGTTTCCGCCGCTCGCCCTCCCACCAGCTGCGTGTGCGGGGAGTTTGGGGTGCTCCCGTATGGAATACGGTGGAGAATCTGGCCAGAGGCTGGCAGCGTGGGGGCGGAAAAGCAGTTCCCCAGCGGTCTATCGGGTCAGTCAGCCCTCGAATGCACTTTCTTGGTGGACGTGCTGTGGCTGATGTGCAAGGGAAGCACCTGGATGCTTTCGTGCGGCAGGCGAGAGGTCTGCCTGCTCAGATACCTGCATAGGTATTTCCATGAACTTCCCACTCCTTAAAGTGCAGGGCGCCAGCCTCCTTCCCAGTGGCGGTGGCAGTGGCAGTGAGAGTGTTAGGCCTCATGTGTGCTGGTGTTGCTCTTAAATTTCCCACGGTCTCGTTGCCAGCCGCTCTGTTAGGAGCGAGCCCACCGTGGAGAAACGCCGGTGCCTACTGCCAGTTTGTTTTTATAATCGCTGCGTTCTTTAGATGTGCATCAATCAGTCAGATGTCGGCAGCTGAAATGCAGCCAGTCGCGCTAAAATAAGGGTAGATGCACCATTTGAAATCATAGCAACCGTTTGAACCGGAGCGGAGATGAGAAAATGCCGCTGGCCACATCGCCGCAGACAGAGGTCTGTTAGTGCCCGTGGAGAGAGGCTGTAATTATATCGCAGAACTGGTTGTAGCTTTGGCTTGGACATCTGAAAGGGAAACCCTTGTAAATAACTTAGTTGGACCACATCTGTTGGATTTGCATCTTAGTGTAGAGCATAAAAGGTGATAATAATAATGGCTAATCATATGGTCGGGTATGGTCTGTTCACAGAAACTGCCATTCCAGACCAAGGCCTGGGGAAGATGTATTTTGAAATTGGGGAGGAGGGTGAGTAGGGGAAAGGGGAGGGAGGAGGCAAAGCGCTGCTATTTTTAAAGACTTGCAACTTTTTCATAGTGGGTGTTTCTTAATGTGTGTCCTGACTCTTTCAGTGGAGATTTCTAAAGACCAATGTAATGGAGTTATTTTGAATTTATTATGGAAAGTGCATTTTCAGTATCCTTCAGTTCTTTTCATTCACTCATACCTTACAGAAGAAGGTTTTTTCTTTAAGTAGTTCAGGTAGACTTTATTCATTAATAATGCTTTTGGTTTTCTTGTATTTATTCATCACTATAAGTTCATTTAGCTTCTGAATTTATATCTGTGGATTTGCAGCTTGCTTTGTACCTTGTGCTGGAGCATCTGCATTCAGACCCCAGCTGACCAGCTGTAGATAGGTGAAGCAGAATAGAAAGCAACTTGTACTTCCATAGTTACATTGACTCAGCACTGCTGAGAGTGGATCTGAATGCTGCTCTCATTTTTCATCTGCCAGCTCTTTTACTGCAAGACTCCAGCTTTTGGTTAGATATTTTGTGAGACGTATGAGCAACATTGTAATCCTAAATTTCATTTATGCAAAGTAATCTAAATGCAGCTGAAATCCTGAAAATTTTAGCAAGCCCAGATAATTTTAATTGAGTTGTAGTTGAAAGGAATATGATGCATTAAAAGGATGTAGCTTCAGCAAGGGTACCAGATTTTTACTTGTTAACTTGCCTGATTTGCATATGTGGGTTGTGGTGGGGGTGTTATGTTTTGGAACTTAGGTTCGCAGGCAGTGTAAGACCTAATGTGCTGTAGACTTAAGCTTGCATCCTTCTTACCAGTTGAACCTGAAAAATGCATATTTACAGATACAATATGCATCTGTTCAAGGACTTCTAAATTATAATTTAGTCACAGAAAGGCATTTAATCCATACTGAGGAACAAATAATCGTACGATTTTCTTGGGGGTTTTGGATGACAACTATGTGCTTATATTGATACAAAACCGTGTTCTGAAAAGTCTCTGAGCTTTAGTTGTATTGAAAACCAATTGGCCAGGTCTCTAAGTGGTAGGTATCTGTGCATTTTACATATTGTCCTTGCTATTTTGTTTTATTTTCGGATTAAAGAATCCCTGTGCTATAACATAATTAGAGAGTAATTTTAATTACACTCTCTAAAGTAGAAAAGCCAGTTGAAATTCCCTCTTTGGGTTAAGAGATGCACACTTGAGTCGTTGGCTTCCCTGGTCTAACCAGCACATACCAGGCCAGCCAAGCTCAGCGAGTCCTTTGCCCCACCTGATGAATCTGAGTGATCCTAGAGGAATGAATGACATGTTCATGAATGAAAGAGAGGAAACAAGTGGACCTTCACTGAACTCTGAAGCTTAGTGGTTAGAAGAAATTGAGATCACTCTTGCCACTCTAGTTTCTGTTCTCTTTAAATGGCTATTTTATATTAGCACATAAATAGGCTTAGTCTGAAATCCAGCTCTGCCGGCTTGCAGAGGACTCCCCTAATGGCAAAACTGTGAAGTTGAGCTTCCTTGTGTAGTGTCTGTAGGCCTTGCATCCCTTTCAGTCATGGTGCACAGCTTTATCCAGAGTGGAGGATGTCTCCATGCCTTTTGAACAGGTAATTAAAAGTCTTTCTCAGAAAATGTTTTAAATGTAAACAGTATTCCTCTTCTCAAAGTAAAAAAACAAGTTTTGTTTAGATCTTTCTAAGAGAGAGTCCAGGTGCTTTACCTTGAGAAGGGAGCCCTGCCAGTTCTGGGTGGACAGGTGCACCCCCAGCAGCTCTGCCTAGACAGAGGATGAGGAGGAGGAAGAGGTTTCAGAGGTGCTTGCTGTACTCTGGGCCAGAGTTTCCTGCAGCACAGAGCGCTGCCAGCGCTGGATGAAGGATCATGGTGGTATGAAATCACAGCTGCCATTCTTCCTCCAGATGCTTCAACTGAAACACCCTGGTCCAGTCCCAGTTTGGGCACCTGGAACTGGTTTCTGAACCCTGCTTTTGCCAAATAGGTCCTTTAAGCCTTGTTTCTTGATTCTTGCATATGCCGAAGGTTTGTACTGCTAGGAGGGTGGAGTGTGCATAAGGTAGCTTTGAAGACTACTTATTTTCTGTATTCAAGAAGGGTAAAAAGAATCAGCTGCTGCTTTACTGCCTCCTGGTGAGGTAATACACAAGGTATGCCACCTGTGCATCACTGGGTGCTGCAGCTCTGGGGCCTTCTTCCTTAGATTTAGGCTTGGCAGCAAAGAGTTGTTTATGCTGCAGACTGAACTCACCGTCGTTTCAGAATGAGCTGTTTTCTGGAGGAACCTTCTATTTGTGAGAGCAGGGCAAAATTGCATGAGTGGGCCCATGCCAACAAAGGTCTGCAGTGAAGGAAGAACAGAAGCTGTCAGAAGAACAGATTGGAAGTGGTACACCCCAGTTAGATGTCAAGATTTAGAAGTAATTAGTGAGTATGAAGATTAGGTAGTGCAAATTTAAATTTTATTTTTGTGGGAAAAGGAATTGGGTATCTTCTAACACTTTTGTGTTTGTTGTGTGATTAGGAAGCTCTCTAAAGAGAATCTGCTGGTATTTGCCAAATACTGAATTTTAATTTTTAATATGACAGCCAATGTTTTTCCATTATGGAGGTATGTTTAAAACTCACTAGGTATCAATTCTAGGTGCTTGCTTAGCCTTCAACAGTGTAATTTCTCAATCTGTTCTACAGGCATTTTTATAGTGTTTTTTTCAGTTGAACCCCAAGAAAGAGGAAAGTATTATTTCTATTCAAGCAGAAAACTAGTGCCTAGAAGTAACAGCAAACTCATAGTTCTGAGTTCTTCACTTGTAGTAATTTCTCTAGGTGTCTGACCTGTGCTTTAAGTACAGGACTGTTGCATTC